GGAGAAAAGAGGGGCGATTAGATCTCTGTATCACCACAGTTACCATTGACATCAAGAGTAACATAAACAGTAACGCATCGTCAGATTCGTTTGAACATCTGGTGGTCAATCAATACATTGTCTATAGAGAAACGCGCATGTGTAGTATATACAGCTGTAAACGAATTAAAGTCCTATACTTTGTTTTGGACGCTTTCTTGAATTGGAAATGCTTGTCATCAACATGGTGTAGCAGAACCTCTTTTCACAATTTTGAGACTCTCAGATAATGCAGTGTGAATCTAGATGTGACCTTGAAAATATTCCAGTCCATAGTGTCACAGTATTTTCTATCAGGCTAGGCATCTCATAAATGCTATTAATGTTTCGTTTCTTATGAGTAATCATGACATTTGAATAAAATGATTAAATAGTTCTATACTTGTCAATTGTTTTCAAAATATGAAATGTCTGTTTCTAAACATGTCTGTATTTGCAGAATATTTGGAATATACACAAGTTATGAAAAATAGGTGAAAAACAACATTCATTTTCTGTCAACTTTACATTTTTTCTGGGATCTTTGAGTAATTTTTCTTAATTTCTGTCACCTTAACTTCCATACAGGCATCCTTTAGACATGGAAGACTTGGGTTAGAGGGCTGATTAAGTGCCTGACTCGAAGATTGTGTGGGTTCGAATCCCGGACGGGACTGAACCCAACAAGAGTAGTAGCATCAGTACTTTACAGAGAAAGAGTAATCCCAAATGTAACGTATGTTACTTGACTTTACTAGATCGTACCAAGTGATCTACCACGCTTGGTAGTCATAGCTACTAACAGTCGTAATAGCTGGCTAATTTCGGAATGTTAAGATCTAAGTTCGGATATTTTTTTATTCCTGCAAAGATTATCGGCTCATCACTGACAACTGACAACCACGAGACCATTCGAAAATCCGTTAGTAGATTTCTTTACCAAAAATATAATTTTGACACCCAGCGCAGTTCTATCTTGTATCTACTCAGTATGCCGTGCAGTGTTTGTCATACAATTAATTTTTGGAAAATCAACGACACGGATTTGTAAACGTGAAATATATTTTAATAAATTGTATTTATTGTACTTTTTAGTAATTCTGGCCCATTCTACAAGTATATTTGGGTTCCATCCTACAAGAATGCCCCCCATCCATCACACACACACACACACACACAAGTCCACGATAGCTACAGGCCCGCTAGCCAATGGCTAGTAATAATCCAGTCGGGCCATTAATACTCCAATCACAGGCTAGTGAATTTTCATGGGGTCATTTTGTAAATATCTCACTCTCTCCTCATTGTTAAGTTATAATACACTTTAAAATAATGCAAGATTATGGCTTGATAAAATGTCCATCATATTAGCAACTTAATGATGAAACCCGTGTCATGCCTTCAATATTTTATTCTCATCTATTTCTGTTATCTTTTACTTGGTTTCTACATTCCAATTTCGGTCTAGTGAATTATCTTGTTGGCTAGTAACTTTCAGGCATAGCTAGCCCTACTGGGTAGCAAACTTTGGAAGCTCTTTTGCACACTGCATGGTATGAAAGGAAAAATGTGTTTCTATACATCGTTTTACCTGAAATGGTAAACAAAACATCTTATATTACATCTATCGATGTTTGAAAACGTGCCTACCTGTACTATCAATAGCCGAAGGTGGTTGAATAGACATGAAAGACACATTTTCCAAGTTGGGAGTTGACTTAGTACAATGTCGACAGAGAATCGGGTATTCCATTGTAAAGTTTCCAATTCTTCAAAGAACAAATTAGATATAAATACTTCTTTTCTTATAATGTTCACCTATATATTTGGTGAAAGAGGTATACAAGTGTTCATCATGCTTTTGATTTGTTGTGGGGATGTTGACCCAAATCCGGGACCTTCGATATTCAATCATTCAAACTTGAACGTAGTACATTTAAATGTACGCAGTCTAAGAGAAAAGGTTGATATTATAGGAATAGACTGTGATGTAGTTTGTATTACAGAAACCTGGTTAAATTCTGGTATTTCAGATGATGATATTTTAATACCAGGTTTTAACAAACCATTTAGAGAAGGTAGATCTACAAGGAGAGGTGGAGTTTGTAAACGTATGATCGCTTTATCGGTAGTGGGGCTAGAGGCTCTCTGGGTGAAAATTTCAAGTAAAAAATAAGCATCGTTTAGTTGGCACTTTCTATCGTGCCGATTAGAGCAATGAGTATTGGGATTTAATTGAAGTGTTGATAGGTAATGCAGCAGACTTGGACTTACATATGATTGTTGTTGGAGATTTTAATATTGACTATCTCGGTTGTCATAAACAGCGTATAGAGTATTTGCAGGCAACTTATAGCCTCAGACAGATCATAACTGAACCTACTAGGATCACAGAACGCTCTAGAACATTAATTGACTTAATATTTGTCACAAATTTTAATGATGTATGTTCTTCTGGCGTGACTGACCCTATATGTAGTGACCATTGCCCAGTCTTCGTCAGTTTGAAAAGCTGCAAACCACCTACCACATGTTTTAAGAGAAAGATATACAATTATTCATTTTAGACTTAGATGGATTATTCTCTTATTTTGATCAGGTTAATTGGAAAGAAATGTTGGATACAACCGACATTGATTCTTTAATTAGTGAAACAGGTTTACCGATTTTTATTAGATACTTGTGATAGATTTATCCCAAATAAGACTGTAACAGTTAGAAACAGAGATAAACCATGGATGACAGCTGAAATACGAAAACTAATTCGTAAATGTAATCGCAAACATAACCTTGCCAAACGACGAAATTCTTCAACTGGCTGGGAACTGTTAGAAGTTTACGAATTAAAGTGGTATCAGTTATAAAGAAATCAAAAGAAATATATGTTTTTAAATTGGATAATATTATCAATGAAAATTGTGATAGTAAGACATGGTGGTGTTTGATAAAATCTTATGTTAGAAAAAGGGAACATCTGTATCATTTCCACCCGTATCACATGCTAATGAAATCTATGATGATCCAGAATCAGTAGCAAATATTTTAAATGAGTTCTTTGTCAGTCAATCGACAGTTCCAGATCTAGACCGCCCCTCCCTCCCCCAACTTTGATAACAGAAAGTAAACTAGATTGTATTGAATTATCACAACGCGACGTCCAAGACATATCACTCTCCTTAAACAATAGAAAAGCTACTGGCCCAGACGGAATTGGAAATACGTTTCTTAAACTAAGTGCTACTAAATTATCATTGCCCCTCTCTGAGATTTTAATAAGTCGCGTCACGCAGCTGTATTCCCTAAGATATGGAAATAAGCATCAGTAATTTCCTAGCATAAGAAGGGTTGAGTAAATGAATGTGGTAACTACAGGACCGTCGCCCTTACCAGTTGTGCATCTAAAGTTTTCGAAAAGTGTGTTCATAAATATTTGTTTAATTATTTTAGAGATAATAATATCATTAGTACAATGCAATCAGGATTCATTCCTGGCGATTCTACAACTTATTAGTTAATGGATTTGTACAATTTTATTGCACGTGCTTTAGACAAAGGTAAAGAAGTAAGAACAGTGTGCTGTGACATAAGTAAAGCATTTGATATAGTATGGCAAAGAGGACTTTTAAATAAATTACAGTCATTTTGGAATTAGTGGTAAATTGATAGAATGGCGAGGTAGTTATCTACATGACAGAGTTCAGAAGGCACTTATAAATGGATATAACTCTGAATTTAATCCTGTGTTGGAAGGTGTTCCTCAGGGTTCAGTTTTAGGACCTTTGCTGTTCCTAATATATATTAATGACCTCGATGATAATATTGATTGTAACATACGTATTTTTGCTGATGACACATCGTTGTATGTAATAACAGAAGATCCTGTTTTAACAGCAAACAGTCTCAATGACGACTTACACAGAATATTAATATGGGCAAATAAATGGCAGGTGAATTTCAATCCCGAAAGAACGGAAACAATTCAATTTAGCAGAAAATGGATTGCTAGTCCTAAACCCCAGTTATTCATGCAAGGGATTTCTATAAATGAAGTTGAAGAACATAAACACTTAGGTCTTATATTTCAAAAGGATGCTAACTGGGCTGCTCAAATTAATAGTATTGTAGATAGAGTTACACCTATGATAAATTGCTTGAGAAGTTTGAAATACCGTTTCTAACGTAGATCACTTCAGATTATGTATCAGTCTTTTATATTATCGCTATTTGATTATTGTAGTCATGTTTGGGATAACTGCACCGCTGCTCAGAATACCGATCTAGAAAAATTACAACTAGATGCATTAAGGACAATCTGCGGGGCAACAAGAGGTACAAGTCATAACAAATTATATGCAGAAACTAATTTCATACCCCTTTTTGAGAGAAAATGTAACCCTCTTTCATAAAATGATAAACGGCAAAGCACCAGATTTTTTTTTATTTATGTAATCTTGTCCCAGACAACGTTTCGGCCAGTAATTCGTACAAATTGAGAAATTCACGAAATTTACTAAATATTCGCGTAAAAACAACCCTTCATTCAAAATCCTTTTTACCAAGTACAGTAGACCTTTGGAATGCTTTACCAAATGACATAATTTACCTCAGTAGTACAGTACAGTACAGGTAGCCTCCTAGTAACATCAAAATGATGCAATCGCAAAAACTTTTACTGAAAAAGTAACCCCCAAGTCAGGAGGATATTCATTTTGGATTTGATCTGAATTAGGGTAGTCGATTTTGTCAAATTATTCATTGTAGGCTTCGTCTAGGAGTTAAAACAGGTGTGGGGAAATGTCAAGATGGGGAATTGTCCTATACCTCATAGGAAAGCGCAATGGTTTTTCCTCGAGAATGTGCTCTGAGTCACACGTATGTGCATGAAATGGTGCAAAATATGGGGTTAAAAGTTATCAGAATTAACGTTTACTTGTTTGAGTTCATTAAGGGAGTGTGCCCTCGAAGAGAAATTTAATTCTTAATCGATAATCCATGCGGTGAACAGATGGAAACTTACCTAACGAACAGCACCCGTGTTGTGTGTACCAAGGTAGATCCGTGTACCCCTGCATCGAACGCTCTGATTGAATAATATTGGTCACGCCATGAGGTCATGTTAAACCGGAACTACTTCTTTCTTACAATCCCGCGAGATCATTCATTCTTACGAGATTTTTAAAAACTTTGTAATAGTCCCAGAGCAACTAATAGTCACATTGTGACATAACGTTAGTTTATTCATGAACATTCAAGAACTTTCATACATTGGAATGCGCAAAGTAGTGTATAGGTATTTGCTTACGTCCATTACTCCGCAACCGGTTTTTTAAATCGGTTTCACCCGTGAAGATCCGGGTTAGAATATTGATCTTCGGTAACCCATGCTTGTCGTAAGAGGCGACTAACGGGATCGGGTGGTCAGACTCGCTGACTTGGTTGAGACATTTTGAGGTAGAGAACTGTAATTGTAACTGTAATGCATGCATACCGCACGGGATGACAACTATTTATCAAGTCATATGTAAAATAATACTTTTACTGTATTGATATACATGTATATCAAAACGATAACATGCTGTAGTAAATATCCACAGTCACTGGCCAACTGGCTAATAGATTTTCATTTTCAAGGGGTCATTTTGTGAATATATCATTCTCTCCGACTTGTTAAGTTATAGCACACTTTATAATCACGCAAGATTATGGCCTGATCAAAATTATCATCAAAGTAAAAGCTGAATGATGAAACCCGTGTCTGCATTTAAATTTCGGACTAGTGAATTATTTTGTGGGCTAGTAACTTTCAGGCATAGCTAGCCGAATGGCTGTCATTGAGCCCATGAATTTGGGAGTTTTGGGGAGTTGTTGATGATTTTTATAGAGAAGCATGTACCAAGTGAATGTGTTGTTTAATGGACCCTAAAACTTTATCTACAAAGTAAAGTGACCCCCTGTATGGCATGTACAAAATTGATAACTCCCTACCTCCCCAAGAACAAAATGGGTGCGCCCCCAAGTCATCATCACCATAACACACACACGCGCGCGCGCGCACGCACGCACGCACGCACGCACTCGCACACACCACCACCACCACCACCATCCCCCACCACCCAAACCATAAATTATGAACGGTCCCTAAAATAGTTTTTTTATAAAGCGTCAGTGAGAGGCTAAGGTGTTACGTTTTATTGTGCGTCGCATCGTCATTATTTCAGCCATATAGCAACGACAGCAATTTTACACACATACCCAATAAGTCACACTCAAAAACAAACTTCTATATACACATTCCAACAACCACAAAATATTTAGAATTTGAAAGAATGGGCTGCAGCAAAAATAATTTCAATATGCAATTGGGGTGTAATACAATACTCATTATTATTATTATACTTTTGGCCGTATGCAAGTCATAATGGAGGAAACCCTCACCTATCACGCAAACAGCCGTCACGGTTTTATAGGTAAACAAGCAATTACCCACAAGTGTTCACAGCCCGAACGCGGTCTTTCTAATACGTATAGTGTATACCTCACACTACCTGCGTGGTAGAACACCACCAGGGCGGCTAGGAGAGTGAATGAATTGTTGTTTAACGATACAGATACATACAACCGAAGCGGCGACACGGCGAACAACAACTTCACACTATCGCAGTGAGATAATAAACCTAACAGGCAACTTGGTCCCAAAGCGAACTTTAGTTTCTGAACTTAAACCTTGCTTCTTACCTACTCGCACTGTAATAAAATGGTATGTGCTAAAGTGGCTCAATGCACGTGTACATGCTTCGGCCAGTCTGCCGAGGAATTTTTTGGAACGGCGAAACGACCACTGCCCATTAACAAAAGACACAAAGCGCACGATAACACATACATAAATGACGTTTAAAACGGACGACGAAACCCTGAGGGTAACTCCACTAACTCACGCCGCTCTTCAAAGGGAGATCAATCTGCGACAAAAGGTCCTGGCGGACTATTTCTCACCCGGACGATTTACACCTTAACACCACCATTAAAACACAAATGAGGTTGTGTGGCGTTAAAGGCGAAGCCCCGCGTGTTGTTTAACAGCCATGTGGATTGAACATTTCCACCCTAAACCATTTCTGAACGAAGTGATGAAGTGGGCTGCAGTCTTCCTTTCGTCCATTTAATGTGTTTAGTGTTGAAACGAAGTCATGAGCGACGAAACTTGACCAGGAATTACAGTGACAGTGCCTTCTGTGGACGAGGAGGAAGAAATCCCGAGCGGTAGCTGAATAGAATTCAGAGACTTGCGCCACAGTCTAAAGACGTGGTGTGTTAGTATTGACACAGATCCTTCCAGTTTCGACAACGTTTGGCAGGAGAGCTGCAGTATGGTATCATCTTGGTCTCTTGGCACGTCAGCAGACTGGGGAAACCTTTGAAACATTGAAACAAGCGTTTCTGATGCCACTTCTTTAGAGCTGAGAATAGATCCGTATCGTTTACGGTTAGATCTTGAAGCCAGAGCAACAAGGAACCGGACGAATCTGTGGAAGTTATCTCCATCACAAGATGGTATTTTTGTATCAGTCCAATAAGCTGGATCCGGGAATCCTCAGAGGCTATAAGACCTAATATATATAATGTGGATTCCACCCCGGACTTCAAGAACGCTTGTGTCGAGATAATATCAGCACTTCATATGACCTACAAATATGTGCAAGGAAAAAGCATGCGGAACTCTTTTCAAAACCTTGTGGCAGAGTAGTAAGAAGCCGAAACCAATGGACAAATTCATTTTGGAAGGGAGGTAAGCTTTCGTCATTTAGACCCTAACACTTAGGTAAGAATTCATGTTTACCCTCAGCATAACCATATGTTTAATAGGTCATTGATAAATTTTCAAATCCAGTTTTAAACGAGTTTACAAACATTCCTCCAGCTTGTTAGTTAGGTAAAGGTATGCAGTCAGAGAAGACTGAATGTTTCCAAGACGTCTATGGCGCTAAAAGTTCACTGTGCAGAGTTGCGTATCTTTGTCATGCCAGGATGAGTCTTTTTTCATTGGCTCAGATCAGGATATGTCCTCGTATGGTCTTCATGTATAACACTGCATTAGTGAACATATTTATCAGCGATATGGTAAAGGTTTTACTTGCGTCCCCCGTCCTGCATGTCCGGTAAGCAGTCTACTAAAATACTGCTGCTGAAGTGGCTTAGAACACCTCTTTCTACCCCTCTTTAGAGTGGGTATGTGGGGTTTAGGGAATAGTATTCCAGGTATGTCACAACATGTAAATTTAAAAGCGGCCGAAAACTCGAAGTGGCGCATGTTTCCGACGTTTTACCACGTATGAATCCGTGGGTACATATAAGAGCGAGCCGGGACTGAAGCCAGAGTCCTAGGTTTCCTGTGTGGCGCGACAATGCACAGCGAATTCCTCTTCTGTCTTAGACGATTGAGCCACCCGTGTTCAGTTATCCATTAGACGTATCCATTGCTTAATAATCATATCGACGCCGTCAATTACCTTCATGGACCAGCACCCTGACAGAGGCACGCCGATTTACCCATAACCACCGAAAACTACAGAAGTGCTAACTTTTAAGACCCATGTGGTTATGCGTCATGCGTCTATGACTCCTTTGAAGTTACGTCGTTTGAATGAAATTTTATTTCTGTCATTATCCACCATGTTTGAGCGACATATTCCTGTGGTGTACAGACAACGTCGTGACTGGCGTGACGGGCGGGAACATACACACTCGCCAACACCGCCGGTAGTGTCCGGGCGGCATAGGGAACATAGCACGCCAACGGCATGTACGGTATGTGCAAATTGTAGTTGAGTGATCCGGGCGTAGGTAGGAACCTCGTACCCGGAATGCTTCTCAGCCACGGGCAAGTTGAGGGATTACATTGGTCATATTGTATGCACTGCATTCATTTGTATTGATGAAATGTAAGGATCATTTTTTATGGTAGCAAGTTAAAGGTTTGCTTCGTGCAGACGCGATTAATAAAGACCGTCGTTACAAAGAGATTGAAGACGCCGCTGACTGCGGCGTAAAACATATTTTTCCCTCTTATAGAATTGATTATTGTGGGGTTATTAATTTTGTTTCCAATGAGAGTTATTTCCATACTGTTCTTTGTTTGCTTAACTGCAGCATAAGTTATTATACAACAACCAACGTAAAGCCTGATTAATCAATTGATCACCATCATCCCACGGCCTAAAGATACAGGGCTTCAAGTTTTCGATAAAAAGTCACTTGCCACAGTGACTTTAAGACAATTAACAATCTAACTAATTTCCACTAGACCTGATTAATTTGATACAATCGGGCGATGATGTAATTATGAAAGAATAAATCAACATGGTATTTGATGTTAATGTGTTTACTGGACTATTTATTGAAAGTGCGATAAATAGCAAAGAACGATAACTCTACTTTTACTATCATTGTGAAATTTAATAGCTACATTTTGGAGCAGATATGAAATTCAATCCAAGTTTATTTGCAGGTTGGAAACCATAAATGGAAATTATCTAGCAGCCCACGACAAGTAAGATACCATTATTTGATTGCCCGAAATGAAAAATCCGACTTGTGTCCGGCACCGGGCGATGGGATTCTACAACCCCTGAGATATCTTGTGCAGCAACGGCTCTCCGATTCAACTTTTCCAGAATTGGTTAATCATTTGTTCTATTTCTTTAGTCTACCAAGTGATGTCTGAAGATGTGGGCAACACTGCTCTGCTCTTGTATTGGAGGTATTGGTGAGTATATAATCTGTGGATTAGTTGAACATGCTTTTAGTGGTTCTCACATAATATATGCTACATGACGATTAGCAAGTTCCTTGTAATTGTGTTCGACATTACCAATAGAACCTTGACGTCATATGACTACAGTGTCTCCAGATGATAAGATGCCGCTATCATCATGCCGTGTTACGATGTTATGTTTTATGTGAAGTTCCAATTCAAGAGGGGCGGTGGGGCAGCCCTAGCCTAGTGGTTAAAGCGTTCGCCTCGTCACGCCGAAGGCCCGGGTTCGATTCCCACATGGGTACAACTTGTGAAGCCCATTTCTGGTGTCCCCTGCCGTGATATTGC